GAGACATGCAAAACTCTGGATGATACTTCCTCCTGAACAGAGGTTGAGGTGGGCCCCACAAGTATCTTCCTGTTACAGCCCCTTCTTTCACCCTGAACCATATTTTAACTCATTTCCTCACAAAGCCTTTAAAATTTTCCTTTCCTGGTGTTAAGTGCCTTCTGGCCACAATTTTGAATTTTTCATTAGTGTTGGGAGTTCAATAATTCTAAGAGATTGTGAATTTTGGGAGGGGGAAAGGAAACCAGGGTTTGTTTTTGGTTTTGGAGGGAAGAACATCCTTTCATTATTTAAAATTGAAGCTCTTGGGTGTGGCAGCTGATTAGTGCTTCCTTTTGCATGTAGTTCTTGGTCCACTAGTTAAAGAGTTGCTTTGTTCTACTAAATTCCATTATTTCATAGAAAAATGTAATGCATGAAACATACATGAATAAAATATGAAGGATTTTGGATTTTAAGAGTTTCCCTTACAATCCTTTCATTAATGCACTCTAGTAGAGATGGATTTCATGATTCAGCTTGTACTCTGATATTGTTCCAGATGCCTCTAATTTGTCTAGAATTCATTGCTGGAATCATATTCTGCCAAAGGGCTAGAGAAAATAAATGTCCCTTTCACTTCCTGCTTTAGTTGAATACTGAGTCATGTCTCCCATATTCTTTGCTAGTAGGCAGTGAAGATTTTCCAGCAACAATTTTGGGAGTTGCCCAACTGAAATCTCGACCAACATGTTGCTGCTGATATATTTCCACTATTTAATCAGGATTTGGACATGTGGAATAAAGTAAGCTTCTCCCAGCTTACTTTATTCCACATATTAATCTTTTGAAGATGCTTTTATAAAGCTATTTAAAAAAATAAAAAGAAATATTTCTTCCAAAGGTACAAAAGGAAATATGCATATGGTTCTAAAAAAATGCATATCCCTTAATAAGGTAGCTTCCACAACAATATACATGCTTTTGATCACTGATATTTCCTAAATTCTTACAAATTCTGTATTCTGTTCTGCTAGACTTTGAAGTAGTTTAGAAGCAATTCAAACAAAAAAGAAACTTTACAACAGAATGTAGAGAATAAGAAACAGCTGACAAAAAACAATTCAGTACATAAAGTATATTTTTACCTATTCAGAACAATGGCTCCAAGTTCATTGATGGACCTGGGTCCTGAGTGTCAGAATGCATGATTAAGTTCACAAATGCTGTTATCTACAATCAGCAGTGTCCATGATGACATGAGGAAGATGACATGAGTGCCATGATGTAACTGCGTAAAACAATACTTGTGCATGACACTGTCACAAGTATGTAAGCTAAGACACTTGCATTAAGATACACTTATTATTTTAGTCCTCACTACAGACAGAACTTATACAGAACTTTAACTGGAGACACTACTGGATGCAAAATCCCATACATCTGAGAAGTTTCTTCTCACACTAAATTATGACCTCTTTAACATGTCCAGTTCCTCAGGGAAAAGGGACACTTTGTTTCCTAGAGAAATAATTAGTTCCCTTCCTCGAATTAGTAATTATTTTTAAAGTTGCCATAATAAATACATAAATATCAATAATAAACACCTGGAATCTTGCATTTGATATGACAGTGAAAAACTGGAACCTTTGTGTGCTTCAACAATAAGAGGGCATTTAGTAAGATTAACAGCCACAGTGGATGGTTATGTAAAAGGCCCACTGTTCCAAATACCAATAAAAATACATTGTAAAAGAGATTAAAATGCTACTAATAAGTTGTACTAATTTCTTTAAATATAAAAATTAGGCATTATCTAACAATGAGGCTTTTAATCTATACCTAAGGTTTATATCTGTATATTAGTTAAAATAGTGCAGATTTTACTTTATATAGTTATTATAATAGTCAATAGTTTTTCAAAATACAATCAACTACTTTACATCATTCTATATGGGATTTCTGAACTAAGGAATTACATTTAATCTTTGATGTAATTATTTTATTTCCTGGCTATATTAACCAAAATATCTATACATATCCTGATACTGTGTTAACTAAGGGTTGTAATATGTATTTAGCATAGAATACATATGTAGATACTTTATTAAAAGCTTTCTATTAATAAAAATCCATTATGGCTGTGGCAGGGCAGAACCTCTGACTACATAACTCTAAGGGTGCTAATTTTAAAAGACCTTGTATACTTCACCTTCTTAGGATGAGATCATAAATACAAATTAGTGTTACATAAGTGTTGCATTGTTGATATTGGGTCAAGATGAGCAGTGGGGCTAATTGAGAAGAAGTTATCCTTCTTCCAAGGTACATATTATAACCTTCCCCTATTATCTTCATAGTAAACATGAATTAGGTTTAATGAGAACTTATAGAATTCTACCCATTTCTCCAATTGCTTTTGGGGTCCCCAATTTTCTATTGGAATAAGGATGGGGGCAATCAATATACACTATAGAGATGTCACCCTTATTTCTATATTTGTATGAAATCTGAACAATGGAGAAGGAAGCACAGGACAACTAAATTTGATGTACATAGTTCTGTCCACTAAAGATATCATCCAGGTCATTAGACCAATTCATTTTGGTTTACCATGAAATGACTTAATAGTTGTCTCTCAAGCTCTGCAATAAGTCACAGCCAGTTTTGCTTACATGTCCTTATGACCTTGCATGAATATAGGTCACTCAGCTACCCAAATTGTCATATGACCCATTATTATATCATTAAAGTTTACAGTTGAACTACTGAAAATGGTTTCTGATTTAAACATTCATCAGATACAACGTATTTTTAAAAATGCTATATTAAATTACTTTAAATGTACTATATTCATTAAATGAGATATACAACTTGCAAACAATATTCTTAACATCTGACAGTTATGTTACATTATCCTTGCTCTCTAATCCAAGTATTCAAAAACAAACTATCCTGATGCATGGATTTCTATAGGAAAGCAAATTTTGTTGTGTGTCTATATGATTCTCTCTCTCCACATTTGTGTACATATGGCACAGTTGCAATGCTACTGTATCCCCTTCAGTAATTTCTTGGAAACACCAAAGTTGTATTATTATTATTTCAAAAGTACATTTCATTTATGCTGTTTAATATAATAATAATAATTATTATTATTATTATTATTATTATTATTATTATTATTATTATTATTATTATTTTATCCCACTTTTATATATGTGGAAGTCATTTAGCTTCTCAAGGAACAGTGACATCTGAACCCATACCAGATGGCAATAATGGACTGGATGAGGATGGATTAAGTGAAGATAAATTGAGACAACATAGAAGGGCTCCAAATCAGTAGAAAAGCAGATTAGGAAACAGGAGATCACTGAAGTTTTTACTGTCAAAGTCTTACGCCACTATTTAGGTATATTCCACAGTTAATCTTGAATGTTGGTGCCCAGGGTGTCAGCAAAGGTCAGAAACACTTTTGTACAGCTAAAGTTTGTATATTAATAGTACTCATTTCTGAACATGAGCCTTAGTGCAGAAGTTATGTAACAACTTACTTACAGTGGTTGCTGTAAACTGGACACACTGGTCTAGCCTTATGGCTCACTTGACTTCTTTCCAAAATAATGTGCTCCATATTACAAGCCTTATCCAACTGCTACAACTTGGCAGTACCTGCAATTATAACTGTATGTTCTACAAAGTGTTCTTAAAAAATACTACTGAATATGATTCAGCTGAGGCAATACAGGGATTTTAAAAAAATCACAAGAATCAAGATTCAAATCCAGGCACTGTTAAAGATACACTAAGCAAATATCTTTCTTTCTCTCCCCCACTGCCTCCTATAAGGATAATCACTGCAAAACATTCTGCATCCATTTTATATGCATTAATAAAAAGAAAGGAGATTGTCTCTATTCAAACCTTTTGTGATAGGTTGGAGGGAAAGCCATAACAATATAGCTTAGGGGTAGTGCCTCTAGCAAGAACTGATTCAGTGTAGTGTAAACTCCGTTTCCTTAATACTGAGCAATAATTAAAAGAGCAGGTGGCCAGAAGCAAAGGCAGAACCAGTCTTCCAAAGTGATGCCATACAAAGTGTGGTAAACAGTAGTCCAGAGAACCCTTCTCTATCAAGTGACCATATTGCAACAAGTAAACCATTTACTTGTTTTAATCAATCATTTATAAATGCACCTTGACTGTTTTTATATATGCGGCTTGCATATTGCAAACACCACTGTAGAGCAGGAAGTGACAAGATCAGTTATTTTATGTAAAATACTAATTGTCTGCCTTCGGAGTCTCCTGGATAGTGGCACAGATTTTAAATACAAGGTGTCTCAAATCCCATCACCTTTACCAGCTGCTGGCAACATTTTTGTTTACTAGGAGAAGGAGAGAGAAACTCACACAATCTGTTCTCAATCTATAATTTTACACATAGATACTGTTTTTCAATCTAAGCTATTGAAATATTATAAGAATAATGCAGTTTGGTCACACTTACCTGTTTATAAAAGGGCGGGGGGTTATGTGGCAATTATCCAGTTTGAAATCATGCAATACCTTTTGAAATAATAATATGTGACAATAAAGCTTTGACAAAATGCTTTGTAAGAGACTTCTGGTCAAAGCCAGTTGCTTTTCCCCCGTATTTTGGTAGTAAAAATAATCACAGATAACTGCAGAGAGGGAGGCAGTTCTGACCTAGACTACAAAGCTCTGAGCAGTTTCTGCTTAATTGTTTGCTGGCAATAGATATTACTCATTTTAAAATGTATGCATTCATGCCTGACATGATGACAAACCTCTTTGTGCAGAAGAGAAATCAGTTACACAACTTGCCGTGATTACTTTCCCTTGTAAGTATACTGGGAAGAAGAAAGAAATCAATATTACACAGAATGATGGCTCAAGCATGAATCAGCGGGGCAAGCACATAACCCAACGGACATGGCGGTCAACAAGGGAAAAAGAATAAAAGAAATCAATCACAACAGAGATTATCGCTTAACCTGTTTTGTCAGAGTTGGTATTGATGGTATTGGTAGTGATGGAAGTGAAGGTAGTCTTTGCGCTGTCCTTGGTAGTTACAGATTTCTGCTTATTTTTCATGGCTTCCAGTGCTTTGAGCTTCTTGGCATGTTTAGTGCCTTTGTAGTGGGCCGCAGCCTGGCTCTACAAAGGAGAACAAAATGAACCATGCAATCAGGCTCATTTCTAAACTGGCATTCTCTGTATTAGTACAAATACAGACCACCTTTCAATAATGGGTACCATTTGCCATACCAAGGAAGTGACCAAACTGAAGATTTCTTTCTAAAATGATCCTTTGGAAACAGTGAGACAGGGATATTATAGATTTCATGTAGACTATCTTGCTTTCTTAACTCATAAAATACATTCCTTTTTAAAATATTGGGAATTGGGAATTTTTCCATTCTGGGGAAAAGTAAGTTCATTTTTCTTTGAAGCTAGTTCCACATAAATATATATTAAGAGAAGATTTAATTTCAACTGCAGGCATGGAAATGTTTTTCATAGATACCAAGCAAGAAGAGGGAAATTGCATTCATCTTTTTTTATGGAAACGACAACCAGCGCTTAACCAAAGGCCATTTTATAATGTCCAAATTAGAGCCTATTGTTTTTCCTTTCCATTGCAATAGATCTGAGATGTAGAACAATTCTTTGTATTGAAGACTTTTGGTGGAATTAAAGTACTGCTTGGACTAATCTGTTGAACCTTTGTGTTAACAACAAAATAAAGTGAACACAAATGGCCATTTCAAATGGCACTACTTAAAGAATAAGGTGATCATATATAAGTTTCCCTTCCTGAAGATTTAATAATATTTTTTTAAAAAGAACAAAACAAATCTATACCTGTTGTTTATAAGAAGAGTCAAGTTACACAGGTGGTTCTCATTTAACAACCACTTGTTCAGCAACCTTTCAAACTTAGGATAGCACTGAACAAGTGGCAGTTATGGCTGGACCTCGTACTTATGGCTGTTGCATCATCCTACAGTTACATGATTGTGATTTGTGACCTTCCCTGCCGGCTTCCCACAAGTAAAGTCAATGGGAAGCCGGCAGGAAGTCAGAAGTCACAGTCATGTGAGGTCCTTGCTTAATGACCTGTGTGGTCCTTGTTTAACGATGGCAACCAGGACTGCTGGAGCTGCCATCGCTACGTGGCATGGTCACATGATTTTTCGACTTACAACCGCATCGCTTAATGAGGGAGTTTCTGGTCCCAATTAGTGTTGTTAAGTGAGGGCTACCTGTAAGTCTTCCCCATGAAATTTATCATATGAAGAAGCCATCTGCATTCACTTCACTTCATTACTAGCATGCTAACAGAGCTTTAGCTGGAATTTTAGTTCAATCAGTCAACATTTGCAGTCAGTGGACTGGATCCAAGCTTTGCTTAGACCAGTAGAAGATATTCTCAACAATGAAAGTGGAAAATGGTCTTTGCATATTCCCCAATTCCCCAGTAGTCATTCATGTCCCTTGGAAACTGCTGCATGGCTTAATCAGATTCTCCAGAATAAAGGAGATCAAAGGATACAACTGGCTACAGAAAAGAGGGAATCAGCAAATATTGCCAGCAGAAGCCTTCTGTTGGATAAAATGCCTTCTGGGAATGGAGAAAACCCTTCCTTCTGCAGTATGTAATTCTTTATCCAACCTTACTTTTTCTACACTGATCTAAAAATCCTGTACCTGGGTCAGATTATCTCAATAGTATAAACCACTTTACTTCAAGTGTCTTTTTTATGTGTGTAATGTATAACCTGACTGAATTATTGTTATATGTGCAGCATCTACACAAAAAAACTGTCCCTGATATTGTGCTACATTTTGTGAAACAAAACCAGAAACCCAATGGGGCTCTGCAGTTAAGAAGTGGCAAAATTCTGAATTTAGGGATTAGGTTTAGCTTATTTTCCCAATACTTATTCCTGAGTTGTTGCAGAATTTACTTTAGTGTCTTCCAGATTAATAAGTGAATGGTTTGCATTCAAAAGTACAGAATCTAGGGATGCTATCTCTGACTGGATTTTTTGTATTTGTATGTATTGGCCTACTATAGGTATCCATACAAAACTAGGATTATGTCAAAATGATGACATGTGGGTGGTGATGTCATGAAACATCCCAAGTTCTAATGCAAGCATGTAAATTGCAGGTTTTCCATCATGATGTTATTACCTTTTTTTTTTTTTCCACTTGCCTCCTCCCCAGCCCCTTTCCCATGGATGCTCATAGACCTAACACAATTCCTTCCTTCATTCACAAACTTCTTCATAACTGGATGGGCACGATGAGAAAAATGAGTTTCTTACTCCATCCATCCAGTACAGATTTTAGAGGCTGCTAAATTCATGTGCATGGTTGATTCCCAAATTTTCTTTGGGTTACTAATCATGTTAGGCCATATCAATGTGCAGTATCAACTGCAAAAGTGGAATGGGCATATCAAATGGATATCAAGGGACTGTTGTGAATTTTTCCAGCCTAAAAAACACTTAGGGAATACTATCTTCAAGAGAAGTGTCTTTTCTTAACATTTGAGCTCAGTAATCTAATACATTATTCCCCAACTTGGTGCCCTCAAAATTGGCTAGGACTACAGCTCCTAGGATCCCTAACTTTTGGCCAGGCTGACTAGGAATTCTGAGAGCCGTAGTTGTAATGCATTTGAGCAGTACCAGCATTGGGAAAGGCTGATGTAACAGCCCCAACATACAAAATCATTAAGAGACTAGATAATATTAAGATTGATAGGCAGTAGGGCTATACAAAGCATTTAAGAAAGGTGCTTCTAAAAGTGCAGTGGTGTGAATGAAGCACTACTTGAAATGTTAAAGCAGCCACATTATTTGAAAGCATGCAAGGTTGGTCTGAAGAATGTCCTGCCTACGTTTGTGTGTGTGCATGCACAGCCATACCACTTTGCTGCTGGTCCCAGCAGAAATCTTGTGTACACAGAGAGTGAGAGATTTCGAGGACATCCTTCAAAGCAGCCAGATAAATCTTGCAAAAGGCAGGTGTATTAATGTATCAGAGATGATGCTTCATTCGTGCCAACATGCTTTGCAAAGCATCTCATCCAAATGCTTTTCAGAGCCCTAACAGACAGTCTCCAGTTCATATGCACATTCTTTAAAAAGCTCAACCCTGTCAGCTCCTATATATTAACACTAACATGGGTTTGGGATCATTCTATAATCACTGAGCTCTTCCTCCTACATAATTGCTCTGTTTACTAATAGCTGGAATACAAGTTGGTTTACAGAAACTAATCTGCAAGTCCAAATTGAAATACATGTTATACGTCTGTGCTTATGAACCAAAATAGCCTTTTACCATAATATTTAATTTTGCTAAGAGACAGAAAGCTCACTACCTCTGGGTTTACATGGCTGCAAAACTTGAGCTGCCTGTAATAGACAACTATTCAGTTGTATTCATAGCCAGACATACAAATTTTCCTTTCTCTGAATCAGCTTTGGTATTGTTGTAGGTACCCGTATTGAAAGAACACTGGACAGTGAAGATAATCATTAGAAACAACTCAAACATACACAGTCATGCACCTTTACAATTGTCATACAACACAAAACATTACAAGACATACTATAAGCCAAATGTGAACATATAAGTGTTAATTACTATTAAATTGAAAAACCAGTGTTAGGGTAGGGTGGCATAAATAAAATGGCAGCATCTCTTACATGTTTATGTCATCAATGCCATGTGTCAGTTTTTGTGCTCTACCAAGATATTAAAAAATGGTTCTTTCATTGGAACAAGATTTTGATAATGTTTATTGACTCAGAACCTATATAAAAGATAGTTTGCCCTTGCGAATTTCAAGCCTTCAAGTTCAGGTTTTCACAGGCATTCCATCCACTACCTTTTACTGAGAAGGACAATCAAGTAAAATATTTATTTAAAAGATTTATATAACTGCCCAACTTATGCACCGTAACTCTGGGCAGCTTGCAAAAAGCAATAAAAATAGCAAAACAAAAGACAAAAACAAAGCCATCAGAAAAACTCCCAGTGCCCTTCAAATGACACCCCCCGACACCTCACAATTTAACTTTCCTGGGCTCCAGCATCACTCTGCCCCAGTGTTTGTGGGAAGTGCCAGCTCTTCAATGTCTTTCAAAAGCTAAGAGGGTTGTGACCTACTGGACGTCTGGAGGAAGGATGCTCCAAATTAATGTATAAAGGTAAATCACAATGAACTAAACTAGAATTCCATTCCTCTCATATATAAAATCAAGGTCCTCTCAGTGAACTGGTGGGTTATAAACAGTTCTTAGCATATTGGGATTTTACTTATTCTCTCTATTCACACAGACATTTAAATTCTTTGCTCTAACACTTCAGTATGCAAGTTCCTCATTTTTCACAGGGATACAAAGTTACAGAAAGTTGTTTTAAGGCAAGTAGTATTGGCAATTTAATGTGTGAAAGAGAGATTGGTCACCAACTGTTTAATCAGTTGAAAATTAGGCTAATCTACTGATCCTTTCCCTGAACCTTTAGAATGCAAGTAGAAACTGGCAAAAATCTGTTACAGTCTTTTCCATAAAGAATAGAACAAGAGTAGAAAAATATTCCTAGGACTGTTGATGTTGTTAACATATATGCAAAATACTTATAGTACTAATGCTTTTCCTCAGAGTTTTTTTTTTTAAAAGGTTTCATCATAGAATGGCATCTCCGAAACATAAAGGCTAAAATTAGACAGACTGAAAATGCAATTATGTTGGAATGTCATGTAGAAAAGAAAAAAATGGAGCCACAGTCTGAACCCAAATGGAAACCATGATTCAGAACCATGAAAGAAGGCCAAATAACTGATTACACTTTTCATCTAGGAAACATACATACTATGACATGCCTTATGAAAATAGTAGTAGAAAATAAATATTACAATGAAAAAGAGGATAATCTTCCAGTAAGACCTTAGATATGTTATAAGCTTAGCAGTGCTAGCATTTATTTGGCAATCTTAAAGGAATCTTTTGCAATGATGATTTTACCTGCTGCAATAATAAAGTAACATTTATTCACTGAATATTTAGCTGTTCCTGAATGTTTCTGTATTAGAATTAGGGTATTTCCCATTGCCAGCCAAACAACAAAATCAATCAATGTTTTTTAATCTAAGTCAGATTTTCTTTCCTTTCTATAACATTTAGATTTTATAAAAACTGTCAGTGTAAGGGTTGCAAAATTCAAGGTTCCCTGGATATTTTAGCACCCTTCATATGAGAATAAATATATAGAAAAACACATTTACTTAAAAGATTTAAATAAGGCCTCCATTTCTGATTATGACAGGTCTCCATTTCTGATTATTCCTGATGATCAAGAGTGGAGAACATTCACTATACAGTCATCTGCTTTAGTAATTCTAATGGCATATATGCCCTGTACAATTTAATTATTTCTCTACCATAGCCAAATAAATATATGGTTGCATATATATTAGTCTTATTAATTAGTGCAGCCTCATCGAAATGAATGTGATTTTAATCTTTCCCACTGATTTCAATGGGGATTTTTTTTTTAAAAAAGCCTTTGTATTTTGTAAAGAGAGGATTTATTTCATCTGATAAGGAGGCAGTAGTTGATATGGCTTTTATGTAGAGCTAGATATGGTGAACCGGCTAGTGTGCTTGCAGAGAAGCAGCGAGATTTGAGTTCAGATCTTCACTCAGCCATGAGCCTGTTTGATTACAGTAAGCTGTTAGCGGTTACAAGCTAAATCTATCTCACAGAAGAATAAAAAGTAAAATGTTTCCAGATATATGAACATGCTTTTCTTTCTCTCTCTTTTCCAAACCATGTTATCAATTGGAAAAATGGAAATGATTCATTTAGAAGAATCCATATTTCATGGAAACATATTGTCTGGATAGATACAAATTTTATAATTGTATCTATCCCACACACATATCTAACTAACCTACCTGGTGGCACGTTTCCTATGACAATCTTCTAACTCTCACCAGAAAAACAGAAAGCTATCTATTTTGCACAACTTGCAGTAGCACTTCACCAGTCACCAAATCATTGTCAATTACTAGTTATAACTGTTCTCAAATCACGCACCAGCAATCCTGAGTCACATACTTGTGAAGTCACACACTGAATCACTCATATTTATCTCAGAAAAACTCTACCAGTCAAAAACATCAGGAGGAACAAAGCCTAGAATATAGAATATAATTTAATATCTCCAGAAGGTCTTGAAATGATATTTAAATACTAAATGTAAAAGCCTAGGATATCATATTAGGTATATAGGTAAATCAGTTACACTCATCTTTTTAAAATCATGCAAATATAAACTTGAAAAAACATTAGTACAGGCTGCAAAGCAGGAGATTACACAATTTGTCAATTACTGCCACAGACATACCAGCTGATTTAAATGTGTGTTTAAGAAGGCTTGCAGATACATAGTCTAGACACCTTAGTGATGGAGAACCTGTGACACATGTCAAAGGTGACACACCATGTTTTGGGTGACATGCCAGTGTTCACCAACATCCAACAACTATTCTCCCTGTTTGAGTTACCAAAGAAACTGAGTTTGTTTTACTCGTATTTCATTTTTGTAATTATTTGACGTTTCTGTATAATACATAGCACCACACATGATTGGACTGTATTTTTTTAAAATAAATGAATACGTAAAGAATTTTTTCTCTTGTGTTTGGGAGGGTGTGTGTGTGTGTGTGACACGCCAACAAACTCAAGTTAGGTATTTTCTGAATTTTTGACACGCCAAGCCCAAAAGGTTCACCATCACTGCCTTAGCAGCGTGTGGCCTCAACATGGAAGATAATATTTGTCATCACTCATCTTCAAAAAAGTCCACATATTCTCCTCTTAATATTCTGTGTGCCTGAATTCTGCTTTAGAGGAAGGAGGAGGAAACTTAACTGATTAACCTTTAAACTTAATATGGGTCTTTGCTCTAGTAGAAATGGTTTCTGTACATATATCCTGCATGTGCAAAAGCCACATTTATCAAGCAAAGCAAAATGCAGCAGCCACTTGCCAGGTAGAAGAGGGATGAAGCTGCACTTCAAATACATGCTTCAGAACACTGTTTCACTTGAACGTTTGTTGAAGCAGAGTGTCCCTTCAAAGATCTACTCAGCCTCACTGATGGTTTACAATAAAAAGATAAAACCATAAAACTAAGTCAGAACCAAGAATATTAAACATCAGTGGAATAAAGAATGGCTAAAAGCCTGTCCAAAATGATGAGTCTTTTTAAAAAGTTAACAAAGAGATTAGTTTCTTCAGTTTAATGCAGAATACATTCTAAAAACTGGGGAAGCTACAGGGAGGGATCAACCAAATTGTTGTTAGATGAATCTTCAACAACTTTTTGCCTGATTCATTATGTGCCATTAAGTCATTTTCAACTCCTACGATCACATAGATGTTCTCTTTACGCACCATAAAAAAGGACACTGATGTGCATACAAAAGTCTGTAGAGAGAGAATGTCATGCGTTATACAACTTTACAATATTAATAAGCATAATATTAGGAAGATCAGTACTGAAGTAGAAAAGTTTATATGACCAAAGTTTATCTTATCAGGTACCTTTTAAAACCAAGTTTTCATCACTTCAGTGTGTTTCACTCTTTATATGCTGTCGATTTATATACCTCATGTTTCAGATAGTGCTAATGCAGGAACTGCATTTGAGTGAAAAGAACAATTTTCCAAAGGGAAGGAAAAGTGAAGGAAAAAGAAGTGTAGCTTATCCTTCCTATTTCAGCTAAAACATATCAACACTCATGTCTTAAATCACAAAATTCCAGACTCAATAGAATGGAAATCTTTTCAAGCTGGCTGGAGCAATAGGTGAATAGACTTACCTGCCCTTAGCTTCTCCTCTTGGATAAACTAATACTTCCTACTGATTGGGTGTTATCTAATTTTTTTCCCCCTTGTGAACAGAATAGCT